CTGTCCCCTCTCCTGTCCCCTCTCCTGCCTGCAACATAACGGACAGAACCGGGATGTTCTCCTTTGATTCAGGGGCAACACTTGGAGCAGAACAAGAGTCAGGCCCCCAAAGGCCTCGTGGGTCCCAAACCTCTCCTTGGAGCGCCTCTAGGAGGACCTCAGTGTCCTCTCTTTCATGCCGGCCTCTTCTGAGGTTTGCTCTTTGCTGTGCTTCCGCTTTGCATGAGGCTTGTGGGCCTGGCCCCCTTGGACCCAGGAGCTCTGCTTCCCGGAACAGGACGGTCTGCTCAGAGTCGCCCCACCTGGCTGTCCCCAGCTCTGTGCTCAGCAATGAGCCTCCTTCCTCCGGGTCCCCACACAGTGGCAGCCCCTCCATCTTCTTTTCTTTTTTTTTTTTTTGTGCTGGGGATCGAACTCAGGATCTTGTGCTTGAGAGGCAGTTGCAGTGCCACTGAGCTAAATCCATGGCCCCACTTCTTCTTTCCATTCAGTGCTGCTGTTCCAGAGATCGGAGAGCAGCTGGTGCTCTCCCTGTAAGGCTGCAGTGTCCTGTAGCCTGCTATGCTCGAGCGGGGCACTGCTCTGGACCCGGGCCTGTGAGCCTGCCAGAGCCTGCCAGTTGTCACTCAGGGTGGTGGGGCCAGTGTGATGTGGACATGGCCTTTGGGGAGACCATGGCACCCCACCTCGGCCTCCCGGTGGCTCCCTGTTAGGGCTGGGACTGCTGCTTGCTGCTATTGTTCCACCTAGGCGGGGAAATTGCTACTGAAATTGCTACCGAAATGACCTCTCTGCTCCCCTGTGTGCTTCTTATTTTTTTGGTACCAGGGATCAAACTCAGGTCCTTACACTTGCGAGGCAGGCAGCGGAACCACTGAGCTACATCCCTGGCCCCACTGTGCGCTTCTTCACTTTAACAAACATCAGTAAGGCCTCATCTGTTTTCAAGAATCCAGAGTGTGACATGCCTTCACTTCCATGTTGATTTGTGTCCTCAATTTGACTATCAGGAAGCGAGTTCCGGTGCCCTTTGTCACTCTGTTCCCACCATTTTGTTTTGAGACAGTCTCCCTAGGTAGCTCAGGCTGGCCTTGAACTCTTGGCAGTTCTCCTGACTTGGCTTCCTGAGTGCTGAGACTACAGGCATGCATCACCATGCCCTGCCCTGTGCTTTGTGTCTCCTTCCCTCAGAACAGAAACTCCAGCTCCCCAAGGTGGCAGGACCTTTACACCACTCCCAACAAAAGCCTGCTAATCACAGACCTTTCAGGCTGCACTATGTAATCAAAACACTGTACTCAGGGCTGGGGATTTAGCTCAGTGGTTCTGGCGCCTGCCTTGCAAGCGCAAGGTCCTGAGTTTGATCCCCGGTACCAAAAAAAACACAAAAAACATTGTACTCAAAGTTACTGGGATCAGCCACCCCATGATCATATTGCTGTCAAGTTAGAATTATTTATTTCTGTGTGTGTATATATATGTATATATTTGTTTGTTTGTTTGTTTGTTTTTGAGACAGGGTCTCACTCTGTAGCCTAGGCTTGCCTGGAACTCACAGCCATCCTCCTGCCTCAGCCTCCCAAGAGCTGGGATTACAGGCCCAAATCACCACGCCCAGCTATATTCTGTTTTAGTTTCTCCTCTCTTACTGAATCCATATTAAAATATACACTCCTCCCATCTTGTCCTGTTCTCACCTACCTCCCAAAAGTAACCAGCCACATTTGTTTATTCTCTTTTCTCTGCCTCTTTGCAAAAGTGAGCAGATGTTCATATGTATTTTTATATGCCCCCTTTCCTGCTTGAAAGGTAGCATACTACAGAGCCTAGCGTGGTGGTGCACACCTGTCATCCCACCAGTCAGGAGGCTAAGGCAGGAGAATCATACTTAGGGTACATAGAGAGAACCTGTCACACACATAAAAAGATACTACTATATACTTTTTTTTTGGTACCAACGTTTGAACTCAGGACCTTGTGCTTGCAAGGCAGGTGGCAGCACCACTGAGCTAAATCCCCAGCCCACTATATACTTTTTCGTTTGTTTGAGACAGGGTCTTACTATGTAGTTCGGACTGTCTTAGAACTCACTATGTATCCCAGGCTGGTTTGGAATTCATGGTGATCCTCCTGCCTCAGCCTCCCAAGTGCTGGGATCACAGACATGAGCCTCCACGCCCAGCCACTATGTACACTTTCACTTGTTACTTTTTATTATTCAGTGATATCTTGGGGAGCAATCACCGACTTCATCTGACTCTGCAGGCAGCCTGCCCTGCTGTGCAGCTGTGTACCAGGATGGCTCTCCTCGCTCTGAGGGCTTCCAGGCTCTGCCACCTCCCGCATGTGCATGATGCCACAGTGAGCTGCTCACGCTTCTCACACCCCAGGGGAGAGTCACAGCCTGGGTGGCAGGGAGAAGGCACAGAGCCTCTGTGGCTCCGTAGGTGCCAGTGCCCCTCCTGGGGGCTCCTGCCCACCTTCCTCCCCTCCTGGTGAGAGGGTGGCCTCTCCTACCCTCGCCAGGACACCAAAGGTGATGCTTTGGATGCCTGGGCCCTTTGATTAATGTGGAATGGCATCTCGTCAGAGTTCCCATCAACATGCGTTTAACGACTAAGGGAGCTTGGTGTTGTTTAGCTTTGCTTTAATTCGTTAACCGATTGATTAATTTATTTTTGAGTCAGAGTGTTGCTATGTAGCCCAGCCTGGCCACGACTGACAGCAGTCCTCCTGCCTCAGTCTTCCTAGTGCTGGGATCACAGGCAGGCACCACCATGCTGGGATATTTTGGTTTTTAAACAGGGAGATGCTAGGAGGTCTGTGTTAGGAGGCATAGAGGATGCAGGGATCTGGAGGAAGGGGCAGAGACAGACATGGGGGAGGGCATTCCAGGAGGGACAGCAACAACAGAGGCTGAGAGCAGAAGCAAGCAGACAGGTTCCCGAGCAGAGGCAGAAGGAGAAAGTGGCCTGGAAAGGTCGGTAGGACCCAGCCGGGCAGGCGGTGTGGCCTAGGAAGTCCCTGGTATGGAGCGCAGCTCTCCTCGGGCAGTAGGAAATGGTCCTAGCGATATGGGAACAAGTGGGTGTGGCTGTGTGCCCTAGACACCTTATTAGTGGGCACAGTTATATGATGTTCATATACTTTTTTATCTGTTCCTTTCTTCCTTCTGGTACTAGGAATCAAACTCAGGACCTTGCACTTACCAGGCAGATGCGGCGCCACTGAGCCACATACATCCCTGGCCCACTTTTTTGTTTGTTTGTTTTTCTTTTTTAGTCTTTTTTTTTGTGTGCGTGGTACCGGGGATCGAACTTGGATCCTTGCGCTTGTGCAGCAGGTGGCGAAACCACTGAGCTAAATCCCCAGCCCTGTTTTTCTTTTTTATTTGTTTTTGAGAAAAGCTCTCAATATAATAGTTCAGGGTGGCTTTGAATTCAATATGTAGCCCACCAGTGATCCTCCTGCCTTAGCCTCCCAAGTGCTGGGATCACAGGCAAGCATCACCATGCCCAGCAAACTTCACATACTTTTAAAATTTGATGCATAATTCACATATTGTACAGTTCATAGAACTCAGCAGGTTTTAGTAGCTCCACAAAGCTGTGCAGCCATCTCCTTGGCTCATTTCCCAACATGCTCATCACTCCCCCAAAAAACCTCACACTTTTTTTTGGTACCAGGGATCGAACTCGGGACCTTGTGCTTTCGAGGCAGGCGCCAGAACCACTGAGCTAAATCCCCGGGCTGAAACCTCACATTCTTTAACAGCCAACTGCCACCCCCTCCACCCTCAAGCTGGCCACACCCATTCACTTCCTGTCTCCAAATTTGCTTATTTCGGGCACTTTGCTGTGACAGAAATGCATCATTTGTGATCTTTTGTATTTGTCTTTGTTCACTGAGCATGATTTTTAGATCCACCTGTGTGTAGCATAAATCAGTCTTCACTCCCTTTGCTGGCTGCATAATATTCCTCTTGGACATAGCACATTCCCTTTATTCATTCATCTGTTGGTGGACCTTTGGGTTGTTTATACTTTTAGGCCATTATAAGTGATGCTGCTGCAGACATTAGTGTAGACATTGTTGTGTGAACACCTGTTCTCAAGTCTTTTGGGTATGTACCTAGGCATTGAATTGCTGGGTCATATGGAAATTCTGTCTTTAACTTTTTAAAGAGCTGTCAAATGAGATTTCTGTACTTTCTACAGGCTACAAAACATTCTTCTTTTGATTTATTTTCCAACCCTTTAATGATTAAAAGCCAGTCCTTGCTGATGAACCGCACAGGACTGAATGCTGATCCTCTCGGAGGCAACAGAAGGAGCTTGGTTTTGTGCTGGGTGCGCTGGGCACACAGAGGCCTCTCTGTGGGCATCTGAGGCTGGTTAACATCAGTTAGTGCTGCTTAGGGCTGGCGTGTCAGGGTCTCCCCGGACACCCTGGGCATGCAGGGCTGCTGTTCAAAGCCAAGGCCACCTTCAGAAAAAGATGTCAGCCTTTTGAGGATCCTCAGTCAGACCCCTGCTCTCCACCCTCTCCCTGGGCCTCTGTCCTCAGCCCCACGTGGAGATGACACTGAGTGAGTTACTATGCACACAGCCCTGAGAGTCAGCGCCTCTCACTGAAGGAGACTCCACTTCCAGGAGCAGCCATCGTGATTGATGTGGCTGAGATTATTGTGCAGAGCCGGGCCCAGGCTTCATCCCCTTCCTGTATCAGCTCCAGCGTCTCCCTCCAGTCTGTTCCCAACACCAGCCGGCTCCCAGAGGGTCCATTCACACCCCGGCCTGGCGGTGCCCCTCCTCTGCCTCCGTCCTGCCTGGCTCCTCTGCTCGATGTGGTTCCCAACCCCACCCTTCTGCAGCTGCATTTCCGTGGCTGCTGCCCAAGTTGCAGCCTCGGGATGGAGCAGCCCTGTGTGGGCTCGAGGAGGGTGGCAGTGGGCAGGCCTGGCCCCTCCTAATGCCCAAGGGCATCCCTCTGTTCCTCAGGCCTCTCCTTGGTGGTGGGCTTGGTTCTTTACATCTCCAGCATCAACGACGAGGTCATGAACAGGCCCAGCAGCTCCGAGCAGTACTTTCATTATCGCTATGGGTGGTCTTTCGCCTTCGCTGCCTCCTCCTTCCTGCTCAAAGAGGTGAAGTCCTGGGCCCAGACCTGGAGCTGGAAGGGCAGGGTCTGGCCTGATCCTGGGGGGCAGAGGGGGTGGGGCCTGGGAGCTCCAACTCCTGGGGTCCTGGAGGAGGAGGGGCTGGGGACGCCCCGATTTCTGGGGTGACCTTGCCCTGCACCCTAGGGGGCCGGCGTGATGTCGGTGTACCTGTTCACCAAGCGCTACGCCGAGGAGGAGATGTACCGCCCGCACCCGGCCTTCTACCGCCCGCGGCTCAGTGACTGCTCCGACTACTCGGGCCAGTTCCTGCAGCCCGAGGCCTGGCGCCGCGGCCGCAGCCCCTCAGACATCTCCAGCGACGTCTCCATCCAGATGACGCAGAACTACCCTCCAGCCATCAAGTACCCGGACCACCTGCACATCTCCACCTCGCCCTGCTGAGGCCGGGCGGAGCTCCCCCCCCCCCCCGCCTTCTTCCTCCTCCCCTGCCCCTCCGAAGCCCGGCTCCGAAGCCCCTCTCCCGCCGAAGGGCGCTGCCCCATCACTGCAGGCCACGCCCACCACCCCTCATTTCAATAGCCACTCCCCTTCGGGGCTGCTGCGCCTCCCTATCACTTCCTCATTTCACTATCCCCGCCCCACTTCCCGAAACCTCTTTCCCATTGGTCCCTTCCACTTACTCCTCCTCTTCGTCGCCCCGCCCACGCCGTGGCCCCTGCCCCTGGCCGTTGGCTCCTTCCGGTTCACGAAGGCCCAGCAGCCTCCAGCCTCCCGCTTGCCCTCTGGGCTGCTGGGCTGGAGAGTGCGGTCGGCAGCCTCCCGGAATGCCGATCCCTTTCTCCTCCTCTCCGCCCCGCCCCTCTCCCTCGGGGCACAGCAGCCCAGGCCTGGGGGAAGTTGGCCTGCTCCCTCCCTCGGTCCCCAGGGACACCCCGACTTCCTCGAGGGCTGCACCCCTGGGCCTCCTGCAGGGGGCCTGTCCCCCGGGGGCTCTGAGGGGCCCCGGCTCGGCTCCCCCAGCTCCTCTCCGGTCCTCCCCCGCGCTCCCTCCTGTCCCCTCCCGCTGGCCCTCACCCCGAGCGCCAGGCCGGAGCCCTCTCCCCAGCCTGCCCGCCCCTCCCCCCTCGAGGCCCCGTCGGGGGAGGGAGGGGCAGTAGCGGGGGTCCACGCCCCCCACTCTGTCTTCCACTTTGGGAACTCCTCCCCACACCCCTCCTCCATCTTCTCCCTCTCGGACAGACTCTGGCCTCTTTCTAGGCCCCTTGCGCCCCCCGGACAGATTGGGGGAGGGGAGGGGGGTTCCCCAGACAATCGCCACGCCCGCTGGGGCTGGGCGAGGTCGCACAGCGTCGTACACGGAACCAGAAGGCCCGGGGTGGGGGGCGGGGGGCTTCTAGTCTGCATCGGGCGGGAGGGGGCGCAGCACTTAGCCTGTCTCACGCCGCGAGTTTTAATGAGGCTGGGGGGGGGCCTGGCTCTGTGACTCACCGTGTATCATATGTAAATACCGACAGAAACGTCAATAAACTTTATTTCAAACTCGTCGCCGCCTGCCCAGAGGGCGGGGACCGGGCGCAGGCTGGTCCCCCGCGGGCCGCGGAGTAGCGATAGAGATTTCTTCGCCGAGACCAACACGGAGCGCAGTCGGTGAGCAGCACCAAGAGGCCAGCTAGGGAGCGCTTGGCACCCCTGTGGCCTCCTGCAGTAATGTGACCGCCACTCGGCTTTCCTCTACCTTCCCCACTGCATTTGCCTTCTTCCCCAGCCCCGTGTCGGATGTACCGACATCCGTTGGTTTATGTGTGCGCGGGGTTATAATCGCACACGTCTGGCCAGTTGCCCTCCCGTTGAATCAGTGGCGCCACCGAGCAGTGTCGAGGACTCATCCGGGTCACACAGACCCCCCTGAGCGGCAGCTGAAGGAAGCCTGGCTCCAAACAGCTTCGAGCCCAGGGAACAGCAAGTTTCCCTCATGCTCCAGCCTGTCGCAGCAACTGCTGCCGTTTGCTGCACACTTACCCCGTGCCAGCCGGTTTCCTTCTGAGCAGGATCCCTGACACCCACAGCCGCCCTGTCCATCAAGGCACGCTCTCTCTGCAGGGAGGCTCAGAAACCGATTCTGCGGTCTGGGATCTCACCCTCCACGCCACATGCTTGACGTTCACAAGAAGCCTTTTGATTATTTCTTTAGTTTTGCAGCGCTAGGGAGGATCCCCAGGCCTCCTAAACGCTAGGTGAGTGCTCTACCACTGAACCACACCACACTGAGCTTATTCCTGAAGGGATGGGGGGCCACAGCGCCAGGCTGGGCTCTCGCCTGTCTAGGTCTGCATATCCTCTTGGGGGGCAGGAAGAGTAACGTCAGAGACACACCCCAGCTGGAGATGTTTCCACCAAGGCCATGCTGATGGATGCCCCCTAGGAATTGACTAGCCCATTTTATGGAGGAGGAAACTGAGGCACAGAGCCTGAGGTCACCCAGCTGGTGAGGTGCAAGATACAGCCCATGCCTGGGCCAGGACGCTCCAGAGTCAACTTTATTATCTGCTATATTTTACTACGACAGGTCACATGCTCACCCACCCTGTGACCTTGAGCAAGTCTTTTAATTTCTGGGGCTTCGGTTTCCTTTTCGGGGGCAGGGTAGAAAGAGGAGGGTGGTTTACAAGGATTCCAAATCCCTCTGGAATGGGGAGGGTGGTATGGGTAGGCTGGCAGGAAGGAATTCGTATTTAGCAGGCCCAGACTCCCTGAGGGAAGAATTCTGAGTCATTTTCCATGATTCCAGGAATTTCTGAAGGTCACACTGGAGATTTGCAATGGGAAGTATGTTTCAGCTTGTTTAGTTAGAAGTACTTGATTCATACAGGCTGCTTGGACCTGTATTAGGAGGGTGCTGAAGGTTTGTTCAGCAGGAAAGAAGGTCCTTATTGATTGGTGCTGCCTGCCATGGTGATCAATTGGTGCTGTCTGCCTTGCCGCAGCATTGGAGATAGTGATCTAAGTGCTGAATATTTGCTGACTTTGTCAGGAACTTAAGGTAAAATCCTAAAGTTTATGTTCTTTTAAAAACCAGCCAGGTGTGCTGGCACACATCTATAATCCCAGCACTTTAGAGGCTGAGGCAGGAGGACTGCTATGAGTTCGAGGCCAGCCTGGGCTATACAGTAAGTTTAAGGCCAGCCTGAACTTCTCAGTGAGACCTTGTCTCAGTAAAGTAAGATAAAATACCAAAGGCAGCCAAGTATGGTGGCACATGTCTGTGCAACACTGGCAACTCAGGAGGCTGAGGCAGGAGAATTGAAAGTTTAAGCCCAGCCTGGGAGACTGTGTCTTAAAAACAAAACAAAACTTTTTTAAAGGGCTGAGGATGTAGGTCAAAAGTAGAGGACTTAACTAGTATGAGTTCGATTCCCAGTACTGCAAAACAAACAAGCAGGCAAAAAAAAAAAAAAAGGCCAGGGATTTAGCTCAGTGGTTTTGCCGCCTGCTGCACAGGTGCAAGGACCCGAGTTTGATCCCCGGTACCAAAGACACACACACACACAAAAAGTTTGAAGAACTCTTTAAAAAAATTATATATATCAAGTCCAAGAAAAAAAAGACAAGAAACAAAAAATTAAGTAAAACGTCAAGCTACTTGTTTTATTTTGGAAGTGGAAGGACATCTCGCAGTTGAAGAACTGTTAAAGGTCTGTTAATGGAAAGCCGCCAGGCTTCGGTGTTTATCTACTCAAAGTAAACCGGGACACACCGAGTCCGGAAACCCTGTCCCTCCAAGGCACTGCGGGCTTTGAACAGGTGACTCTGGCCTTGCTCTGAGCACATTGCACCCTGCGAGTGCGCGGGGTTCAGTCCTCACACAGGCCCGTGGGCCCGGGTGTGTTCAGGTCCTGGAAGTTTGGCCGCAAGGCGACCGCCCTGTGCCTTCCCCCTCGATTGGGCCTAGGCTGTTCCTTGCTCCGCTGTCCCTTGGGCACCGCCCCTCACTGTTTCCCAGGCCTGTGGAAAGCAATCCCATGATGCAAGGAGAGCTTCCTGTGCGCCACTTCACATTCAAGTCTGGAGTCCTTCGGATTCTGAACGCAGGGAAGTTCTGACGTTTGCGTCACCACCCTCAGCCGGGCGCGGAGAGGCTGCAAAACCCTCCTGGACACACAGTGAACAACTAGCCAGGCTAGGACTGGAACCCAGGACTCTCCTGTGCCTGGTGTCACCGCTAACTCACATCCCTCTGTGCTGAGGCCATACCGCCCTGGCTGTGGTGTCCAGACCTTTCTACTCACTGTCCTGGGCCTGCTACTGCTAAAGAACAATGTCACACATTAGTGATTCTCAAGTGTGGCCCGGGGACGCGGGGCATCTCTGGGACCCATTTCAAGGCTCACAAAGCAGAAATTATTTTTTTTCAGTCTTATTCTTTCATGAAGTGTAGAGTCCGGAGGCTTCATGACCAGTGAGAATACAATGGATTGGGTGTAGAACCAGGACCCTGTCTTTCTGCTTTTAAACTAAATGTTGAGGGGCCGGGGATTTAGCTCAGTGGTTTCGCTGCCTGCTGCGCAAGTGCAAGGACCTGAGTTCAATCTCCGGTACCAAAAAAAAAACCAACAAAAACCACTAAATGTTGAATAGATTTCAAGAATATAAACTGTGGCCAGCTGGGTGTGGTGGCGCACACCTGTGATCCCAGCACTCAGGAGGCTGAGGCAGGAAGATCGCTGCTAGTTGGAAGCCAGCCTGGGCTACACAGTGAGTGCAAGGCCAGCCTGAACTACATATCTAGATCCTGTCTCAAAAATCAGAACAAGGGCCGGGGATTTAGTTCAGTGGTTTCGCCGCCTGCTGCTCAAGCGCAAGGACCAGAGTTCAATCCCCGGTACCAAAAAAAAAAAAATCAAAACAAGGTCTGGGGATTTAGCTCAGTGGCACTGTGCCTGCCTCGAAAGCACAAGGTCCTCAGTTTGATCCCCAGTACCAAACCAAACCAAGCAAAACACAAAAACAAAAGGAATATAGGGCTGGGGATGTAGCTCACAGCACTGTGCCTGCCTGGTAAACACAAGTCCCTGACTTTGATTCCTGAAAAAAAAAAAGAAAGAAAGAAAAAAAATCCAAAAGGAATATAAACCAACACACACACACACATGCAAGCCCAGTGTTTAGGGAAAGCATAGTTATTTTGGGGACAGGGTCTTGCTATGTAGTCCAGGCTGGACTTGAACTCACTATGTGGCCCCGGCTAGCCTTGAACTCAAGGCGAACCTCTAGCCTCAGCCTCCCGAGTGCTGGGATTACAGGCATGTGCCACCATGCTGGGCCATAGTTATTTTTTATTATGTAAACATGGTATGAGTTTATTTTACTAAAATACATTCTTTAAACTATAACATTTTTGATCCCCAGCACTACAAAAAATTAAAATTTTTCTTAGTCTGAATTTCAAATTAAGAAATACACATTATGTGAACTATCTATAGAAATAAAAACATAAAAGGTTTTTGTTTTTGTTTGTTTGGTCGGTCGGCTGTGGTCCTGGGGATTGAACCCTGGCCTACACTGAGCTACACCCCTAGCCATTTTAGTTTTAAGAGTGATTCTTAACTTGCAGAGAATTAGGGAACCCTTTGAGATAAGTGCTGTGGACCCCTAGAAAAAGCATCCAGGCCCTTCAAATTCTGCACACACTTCCAGGGCTCCCCTGACCTCCGCAGGGCTCAGCGGACTCGGGCTGGGGTTGGGGGTGGTGTGTGTGATGTGAACCGCAGCCCCGAGCCCTGGCTGGCCTCTTGCAGATGTGGCCTAGGGAGGGAGGTGAGGGGAACAGGACCTGGAGCTAGGCCACCTGAAGCCCGCCTGGGCTGGCTGAAATCTTTCCACTTCACCCTGAATGAGGACGAGGAGAATCGCTGATCATCGCTTCCTGGTGCCGCAGGAAGAGCGAGGGCCACGCTGTGCCTCTCGCCTCTTGAGAAACACAAAGGGCCCAGCTGCAGCTGATGAGAGCGCCAGCACCTGGGGATGGGGAGAGGATGCAGGATGGGGGCGGCTGGGGAGAGGGCGTTAGACTCCTCCGTCCGTCCGTCCATCCATACTTCCTCCTTCCACCCCTTGGCCATTCCGCTCAGGATCCCTGTCCACCGCTGGGCTCTGGGGGCCCTGAAGGGAAGCTGCCCTGTTGTCAGGGGACACAGGCAGCCCGTGTAGGGTCAGGGCCAGAGGGCTTCCCAGAGGAGGCGGAAGCCACATGGGGCGGGGGAGCCTGCAGGAGACCCAGGGTCAGCGAGGCCAGTGCTCTGGGCCAGAGACCCTGATGGCTTCTGATCACACTGGAGAAGGTGCAGCTGAGAAGCAGCAGGGGCAGAGCACTCTGAATAGAGTCCTTGCAGACCATGCGGGAACAGGGAGATCTGGCATGGGCCAGCACCACACTCCAGGCAAGAGCAAGACTGCTAGCTGGGCCGGGTGGGCAGGCCTGTAACCCCGCACTCAGGGTCTCGAGTTCAAGGCCAGCCTGGGTTACAGAGCAAGACCCTATCTCAAAAAACGCTGAGAAGGGGAAAAGGAATGAAGGATCCAGGAAAGAGGGGTCTGCACGGGGATGTGCTCGTGGGGGCCAGCTGGCTGTCTACAGCAAGGGGGCAGCAGCCGCTGTGACCTCTGCATTCAATGGGACACACAAGGTGTGTTGGTCATCGGTGCTGCCTAACAAATCACCGTGAGCTTGGGGGCCAGAGCAACCCACATTTCACTTCACCACACCTGTCAGGCCTCAGCTTTCCCTCAACACAGCAGTTCAGCTCCTCAAGGACATCGGGGGCACCTCTCTTGCTCTGACACCCTCTGACTCCTGGACCCTCTGCTCAGCCATTGCCTGATAGGGCCTGGCCCACTGCAGAGTCTCCTTAATGGTCAGCTTCATATCAGCTGTCACCTGCTCTGGGAGCAACGACCACCCTATAGTGTCCCCACGTTCAGGAGGACAGGACACTCCCAAGTGTGCAGGTAGAGGTAGGAATCTTGGAGGTAAGTTTATTTTTAGTTTTAGAGGTTTTATTTTGTTTGGATTTTTTTGGTACCAGGGATCGAACTCAGGACCTTGTGCTTGCCAGGCAGGCGCAGTTCCACTGAGCTACATCTCTGGTCCTAGTTTTAGTGTTTTGAGATAGGGTCTCACTGTATAGTCCACTGATATAATTCACTGATCTTGAATTCACTGTGGCCCAGGTTGGCCTCACACTCACAGTGATCTTCCTGCCTCAACCTCCCCAGTGCTGGGATTACAGGTGTGCACCACCACACCTGGCCTTGGGGGTCATTTTAAAATCCTGCCTCCCGCAGGTGGCAGTGAGGGTGGAGGGCTTCCTGGGGGGCAGGGACTTAGCTACCTTGGAAGCCTTGGCAGGGTAAGGTGAGTTCAAGAGCCAGTGTAGGACGAGGTCCAGAGAGACCGCCCCTTCTGAAAGTCCCTTCCCCATGCTGCAGGGTGTTCACAGGGGCTAACACGTGACTTTAGTCATCCAGGAGATAGCAAAACAAACATCTCTGCAAAACTCAGATGTTCACAGCAGCATCATTCATAATAGATGAAATGTGGAAGCCAGCCAGATGCCCATCAATAGATGAGTGATATAGGCTGGGGATTTAGCTCAGTGGTTCCGCTTCCTGCCTCAAAAGCGAAAAGTCCTGAGTCCGATTCCCTAAACCAAAAAAAAAAATAGATGATTGATAAAGAAAATGTGGTCTATCCATAGAAAGGGAATATTACTCAGTCACGAAAAAGGAATGAGGTACTGACACAGCTGCAATATGGAGGAACCTTGAAAATAATGCCAAGCAGAAGTCAGACACAAAGGCCCATGTGCTGTGAGCTTTCATGTCCATGAAATGTCTAGGATAGAGAAATCTACAGGAACAGAAAGTGCATTGTTTAGCTGGGGCCAGAAGTAGCTGGAGGGTCACGGGTGAAGCTGATGAGACCTGGTATCTCTCCAAGAAATGAAAATGTCCTCATGTTGGTCTCAAGTAGATGACAGCACAACTGCCTGCTAATTAAAAGCCATTGAATTATGCACTGGAAGTGGGTGGATTGCATGGTGTGTGAATTCCATCTCAATACAGATTGTTTTTAAAGAAAAGATATGCTGTCTTTAGTCACCGAAACAAGAAGCCATGATGTCATCGTGTCTCACTTAATGTCACCAAATGAGCCAATAGAAGTAAAAATACTTCTGTAAGGAGGAATGGAGGCCGGGGTGAGGGCCACAGGAGCTAATTCATTCTCTATCAGAGGAGGAAAACCCTCAGAGAACGTGCAGCCGGGACACAGCTGGAGCACCATGATTGTCATTCAGAGAGAAGGCCTGGAGGAGAAGGAACAGCAAAAACATACAAAGGAGCAGGATTTGTGGTGGAACAGGCTGAATTATTTCACTGGGAACTCCTTGGGGGACCATTTGATTCTCTGGTTTTCTTGGAACCATGAGCATCTATTGATTTGCTCACGAAATACATTGTAATTTAAAATAAAAATAAAACATGTCCCCCTGTTGCTGATTCACTTACTTAAATGGCTCTTAACCTGGGACATCGACACCCTCTGGAGACATTTCTGGGGGTGACACTGGAGAGACCAGGTGTGAGACAGGGCAGTCACAAAGGCCAGAGGATGCCCGGGCCGGGCCTGCAGCGCCACAGTGAGAAGCCTGGCTCATTTCATCCCTGGAGGTCTCTCCGGAGTCTGGAGTGGTGGGAAGGCTTCTCCCAGCTCCCGTGGGGCAGGGTAGGGGTGAACGGCACGGAGCTGACACCTGGCAGTCCTGAAAGTGGCCGAGAGCAGCCCTGGGGTAGGTGGACGGATGGACGCACGGCAGAGGGTGCAGAGGGGCAGGTCGGCAGCCAGGGTCCCGCTCAGGCTCGCAGGGCGGAAGGCCGGGAACCGGGCCCGGGCCTCTTAAGTCCAGCGACTGCCCGCGCCCTCCCAACCGCGCGGCGAGGCTGCTCCCAGCAGTGTGTGGCCCCTGATTCCCGACACACAGTTCGGAGACAGAAGTGTTTGGGCCAAGGTCACACAGTGGCTCAGGGACAACCCCGAGGTTCCGACCGAGCCCAAACTTTGGCCCGCCGCCAGAGTCCCCGGCTCCGGCCGCCCGGGACTCGCTGGCCGGTTCTGCAGGGGACGAAGCCTTTCTTCTCAAAACTGCCGCCCATCGGACCGTGAGCTGTCTGCACTCAGCTTTTCACACGCACGTTCCTCCAGCCGCAAGCCCAGCCCCAGGCCCGCGCTGGCGGGGGCCTCACTGTGCCCCCAGGTGTGAGGTAGGGGTAGGTTAGGGCACAAAGAGAGAAAGACGAGTCGGTGAAACTCAAAACGCCCGCTCCCCTGGTAAATTTAAGGGTTTTCCTTGGGAGGGGATCTTTGCCCTGCCTCCTGGCGGGGGGGAGGACCCCGGGAGGGCAGAGGTCGCTCGGAGTGGGGACGCGGAGCAGCGCCCCCCCGTTTCCGGCCGCCGCAGCCAGCCTTGGCTGGGCGCCTGGATCCCGTTTCCATGACGACAAGAAGAGGCGGTGGCGGCGGCGAGCGAAGCCGGCGATGGAGGCTGGTGGGGGTGGGGGTGGCGGCTCTGGAATGGGGGAGGGGCGGGCGGGGGCCGGGCCCGTGGGGGAGGGGCGGACCCCGACCTCCGGCCCCCTGGGCGCCCCCGGGCCGGGCCTGTCCCTCGTCTCGCGCGGGCTTCCCGGGGAGCCTCCGGTCTCCGCGTCTGCCTCGGGGTCTCTCCCCGGCTCGGCCTCCCGGTCTGCCTCTCTGGGCCTCAGCTTCTCCACCTTTCCGTCTCCGGGCCCCTTCTGCTCGGACCCCCGCCGCACTGTCCCCGCCCCCCGTGCGCCCCTGCTGCCCCCCACCTCTCTCCAGCCGCCTCCCAGCTGCCCCCAGGCCCCCGCCTTCCCTCCGCGCTCCCCTCTCAACCCCTCCCCGGCCCTCGCGGGCTCGCCCGGGCTTTCTCGCTGGGCCTCGGTGCCCTCTCTGGAGATCTCTGCGTCTCCAACTTCC